CATGGAGTAACCATGGCAATGAAACGATATATGACAGGATGAATGTAAAACTAATGTTCTCCCATGTGAACTGTCACATAATGTTCTCCCATGTGAACTGTCACATAATTCTCAATAAAACATTAAATGATATTAATAATAATTAAATAAATGCAAATGGGAAAAAATGCAGATGGGAAATTGATATCTGGTGTTCCAAAGTGATTCAAAAACAATTCTCTTTGTATGGGAAGAATTTGCAGAATTCAGGTTAAAGGAACACTGACAGGAGTGGTCACATAAGAAGAACAAAAGGATTCCATATTTCAATCCATTCTGAGATATTCACAATAGAGGCAGAAGACAAATTGTGTGAACTGGAATAGATTAGACAATTTCCACATTGTCTTTCACAGTGAGAAAAACACAGATGGGGGTGGGGGGAGGCAGCGAGCAGGGCTGTTGGATTCCATACTGATAACTGGAAGGTCAGAATTAAATATTAAGTACTGTTACCATATCCCCAAATACATTCATCACCTAGTTTCCTTAGTTTGATAAATATCTCAAACCTTGTAGGTACCACTTATAAACCAGCAAGACATAAATGCTAAAACACAAGGTACATACTTTCTAGGCAAGTTATAAACTTAATACGGGAGTAGTTAATGATTGTACCAGATAATACAAGTAAGTAGTCCATGGAATCCATTCCTAAATGTGTCTTTAAGTCGAATTTGTATGTAAATTCAAACAGGTATGTCTTGTATTTCAAATGCTTGTCTTAGTCTGTAGTAATAGTGTACCTTTCTATGTATATAAAACATTTATGAAAAGTTCCATATGTGTATTTATCTTTACCATAGTAATACAAGGGAAAAACAGTAATGCCGAGCATGTTCTTCTCTTTTGGTTTTCTAACTTCAGGCATTTGTACATTGCATTATAATATATGACTTATCTTCTTAAGGTATCCTTTGAAATTTCTGTTCAGATCTTTTACCTCATTTGCTTTAGCACCTCCACGAATGAAAGCAGGTTTCAGAGTCTCTTCTGCCATCATTTTGGTCTTTTCCTTCTTTCTTAATGACCTTTCACTTTCTTCCTATAAGATGTTCTTGATGTCATCCCCACAATTCTCAACTCTTCTGGTTTTTGGTGACCAGTGTGTAATGCATCAAATCTGTTCTTAAGACCATTGCTAATTTACGTGGGATATGTTCAAAGTCATACTTTGGCTCTCGAATTGTTTAGTTTACTTGAGCTTCATCCTGAACTTCCATATGAGCAATTTGATGGTATGTTCCACAGTCTGCCCCTGGTCTTGTTTTGGCTGATGATATGATATCTTTCCACATATGTAGTTAATTTGATTTCTGTGTATGCCATCTGGTGAGGTCCATATGTACAGTCGTCTCTTACGCTGTTTAAAAATGATACTTGCAATGAAGAAGCCATTGGTATTTAAAAATTCTAAAATGCGAACTCCAGCATCATTTCTAACATCAAGGCCATAATGTCCAACTACTGTTCCTTCCTCTTTGTTTCCAACCTTTGCATTACAATCACAGTAATTTTTAATACATCTTGATTGCATAATTGATCAATTTCAGACTGAAAAATCTGGTGGAATTCTTCAGTTTCATCTCTAGCTTTAGTGATTGGTGCATAAATGTGAATAGCAGTGGTATTAACTTGTGTTTCATATGTTGTTGTTAAGTGCCATTGAGTCGGTTCTGACCAATAGTGACCTTGTGTAGGGTTTCTGAGGAGCAACTGGTGGGTTTGCATTGCCAACCTTGCAGTTCAAACTGACCTTGCAGTCCAATGCATTATTCAGCACCACACTACCATATGGATATTATCCTATCACAGATAGCATTATACTTCAAGATAGATCTTGGTATGTTCTTTTCGATGATGAATGTGATGCCATTCCTCTTCAATTTGTCACTCCCAGCATAGTAAACCATGTTATTGTCAGATTCAAAATGGCCAATGTCAGTCTATTTCAGCTCACTAAAGTCTAGGATATCAATGTTTATGTGCTTCATTTAATTTTTGACAACTTCCAATTTTCCTATATGCATACTTTGTACATTGGATGTTCCAATTATTAATGGATGTGTGCAGCTGTTTGTACTAATTTTGAGTTGTGCTCCTTCAGCAAATCAAGGTAACAAAAGCTTTACTCCATTTGTGTAATCATGGTCAACTCTATCCTTCCCCAGTCACATTTTGAGAGCCTTCCTATCTGAGGAGCCCATCTTTTGGCACTGTACCTGACAGTATTCTGGTACTATCTGGCAGTGTTCCACAGCTACTCATAAAGTTTTCATTGGCTAAACATTTGGAAGCAAACCACCTCTCCTTCTTCCTAGTCTGTCTTAGTCTGGAAGCTTAGCTGAAACTTGTCCACCAGGGGTGATGTGCTGGCATTAAGAAAACTGTTGGCATAGCTTCCAGCATTAAAACAACACGTAAGTCACCACAGTACGGCAAACTGACAGATGAAGATGGAAGGCAAAAGAAGACAGAAAAGAATATGGAAGGAATACACAGTCACTGTACCAAAAAGAAAGGTTGATATTCAGCCATTTCAAGAGGCAGCATATGATCAAGTGCCAATGGTAATGAAGGAAGAAGTCCAAAGTGCACTGAAAGCATTGGCAAAGAACAAGGCTCTGGAAATCGATGGGATATAAATTGAAAATTTTCAACAAACTGATGCAGCACTGTAGGCACCCACTCATTGATATCAAGAAATTTAGAAGATAGCTCCTGGTCAGTTGATTGGAAGAGAGCCATTATTTGTGCCCATTCCAAACAGAGGTGACAGAACGGAATACAGAAATCATCAGACAATATCATCTACATCATAAGCAAGTAAAAATTTGCTAAAGATATTTCAAAAACAGCTACAACAGTACATTGACAGAGAACTGCCAATGATTCAAGCTGGATTCTGATGACACGGAACGAGCAATATCACTGCCGACATCAGATGGATCTTAGCTAAAAGTAGAGAATACCAGAAAGCTGTTTGCCTGTGCTTTATTGACTATGCTAAGGCTTTAGACTGTGTGGATTATGACAAGCTTTGAGGAGAATGAGTATTCTGGAACACTTACACATGCTGATATGGAACCTGTACACAGACCAAGAGGGAGTCATTTAAACAGAATGAGGGGTTCGCTAAGTAGTTTAAAATCAGGAAAACGTGTGTGCCAGGGTTGTATTCTTTCACCATAATTAATCTGTATGTTGAGCCAATAATCTAAGAAGCTGTATTATATGAAGAAGAATGTGGCATCAGGATTGGAAGAAGACTGATTAACAACCTGCACTATGCAGATGATACAACTTTGCTTACTGAAAGCGAAGAGGACTTAAAATACTTACAAAGATCAAAAGCTGCAACCTTTGGTATGGATTGCACACCTCAATATAAAGGAAACAAAAAATGCTCACCACTGGACCAACAAACCAGTGATTCACATCTTGATAAATGGAAGAGTCTGAAGTTGTCAAAGCCTTGACTTTACTTGGATCCACCATCAACACTCACCGAAGCAGCAGTCAAGAAATCACAACATACTGTCTTACACAATTTGCCACAGATCATCTCTTTAGAGTATTTGAGAGCATAGAAGTCAGTTTGAGGACTAAGCTGCATTCTGAGTCAGTTTGATACTAAGCTGGTATTTTCAGTAACCTCATATGCCTGTGAAAGTTGGGCAATGAATAAAGAAGACCATAGAAGAACTGATGCATTTGAGTTATGGTGGTATAGAAGCATGCTAAAAGTACCATGAATTACTAGAACAAACAAAATTATATTGGAAGAAGTACAACCAGAATGCACCTTATAAGCCAAGATGACCAGACTTCTTCTCTCATACTTCTGACATATTATCAGGAGAGACCAGTCCCAGGAGAGGAACATCATGCTTTGTAAGGCGGAGGATTAGTGAAAAAGAGGCAGACCCCCAAGGAATTGGAGTGACACAGAGGCAGCAGCAATAGCGCAGAATGGGACACTGCTTTGTTCTGTTGTCCATAGGGTCGCTATGGGTCTGCACCGACTCTATAGCACCAAACAACAACAAGAGTAATAATGTTTTGATGAGCATTACAAAGTAGCACCTGTTTGTCATTATCAAACAACGTATGAACCTCACATTTTTAATATAACAGATTTTACTACAGTTGGTTAGTAACTACAGGTTATATGTTAAGTCAGACATACATTTGTAGCCCAGGGATTGCCTATATGAGTGCAGGAGACTACAACAAACCAATGGCATCAGCGTTAATTTCAAATTCTGCTTTTCACACCTTATTTTCATTACAGTAACATTATTGTACAAAAGTAATAGAATTCTGGCTCCTAAATTGACAGACTAAAAATAATTTTTTTTTAATGTGTAAAGAGACTAGAGACAAAATAGGCAGAAACTGAGGGGAGTTGGTCCTTGAATAAAGGGAGACACATTTGTGGTACTTGAATACATACACTGCAAAATTCACTGTGTGAAACTGACCGGATGGTTACACGTTTAAAAATATAGCCACAAAAGATATTTTAGAATACTGTGGAATCTCTGGCGGGGCTACAAACAGTTAAACCACTCAGCTGATAATGGAAACACTGGTGGTTCAAGTCTACCAAGAAGCACTCTTACGAAATCTGCCATTGAGAAACCTACAAAATACAATTGTATTTTTACACACATGGGGTCACCATATGTAGAGAATTAACTCAATAGCTGTTGGTTTGTAGTATTGTAATTATTTTTAGGAAATGAGTATTAAAATGTATTTAGGGTTTAAAGTGACACAATGTCTGCAACTGATTTTGAAACAGTTCAGTAAAAATCAAACACCACTACACACAGATAAAAGTATGACAAAATTTTAACATTCATAGAATCTGAGTGGTGGATATATGGGTGATCACTGTTCTATTCTTTTAGCTAATCTCAAAATATTAATCTAAATTGTGGGGGGCATGTACTTACGAACATTCCTCAAAGACTTTGACCCTTTCACAGCCCTCAGGAGGCTCCCTTTTAAACATGTAGCTGTTGTTAGGTTTTGGTGAGGTTGCATATTTGGGCAAAGGAGAATTGTTTCCATTTTCTGAAAGAAATGATACACTGGATTATTAAGAAATACTACTAACTGAATACATAATTAGAGTGTACTGTAATTACTCCTGGTTTACTTCCACACCATGAACTACTTGAAAGTCAAAACAGTTTTGTTTTTATTTAACTTTTTACTGTGAATTGGCTGAAGGTTTAGAAACTGTTTTACTCATCTCCATCACCCCAATACCTAGCACAATTCCTAATTTTATTTTTTTTAAAAAAGAGCTCTTTACTGTTAAGTAAATACATAAACTCATATAAAAATAAATAAATACATAAACTAATAAAGAAGTTTTACTTCTTCACTTACAATTACTAAAGCCTATGCCTGTATCACCGAACCCTGTAATATTGAATACTCATCTAACTGGCTGTCTTATTTCTATTCTCTGCACAGCACACAGACTCAAACACCACTTTCATTTTCCTAAGTACAAATACTGACATATTTCTTCATTAGCTGCTTATCATTAAATCTTGGCCTGCTCTTGAGAATTTCTCATGTCCATTTCTCTTCTCTTCTGTTCCAAATGGCCACACTGAAAAGATTTCTCTTTGCCTATGAAATTTCCCTTACTTAAACAAAAGGTCCTTCCCTTTTTTAATGTTCCAAAACCTTCCTCTAAGTCTAACTCAAAAAATTTTTAATCTTTCCAAAGTAACACTATTAGAAAGACTACTTTTTTCCTTCTTCACTCTGATATTCCTATTAAGTGCTGACATCCTCAGTTTGGATCCCTGGTTTTACGCTGTAGGATAAACACTGGACTGTGAACCACAAAATTGGCAGTTCACATTCACCAACTTCTCCTTGGAAATCCTGTACAGGGTTCACTTTGAGTCAGAACTGACTCAATGGCACTTAACAACAATAGCAACAATTATCAATTTATACCATGTTAACTTAAAATTCTTGATATATACAGTTGTTGAGCCAGTTCTGACTCATCGTGACCCTATATAGGGTTTCTGAGGCTGTAAATCTTTACAGATCAGAAATGCTCATCTGTCTCCCACAGAGCAGCAAGTGGATTTGAACTGCTGACCTTGTGGTTAGCTGCCCAATATGTAACCAGCCACACCATTAGCACTCCTTGATATGTTACATAACTTTAAAAGTTTCAGCCTGTGTCAGCTAAGCTACTAATTTTTTTATGGCAACAGCACTATGATCCTATTTTCTTAAAATAGAAACTCACAGGAACCAATCAGGCACCAACCAAACCCATTACTGCAAAGCCAGTTCCAACTCAGTGACCCTATAGAACAGTGTTGTTATTAAGTGCCAGCGAGTCGATTCCAACCCATAGAGACCCGGTAAAGGGTTTCCAAGGTGAGTTTGAACCACCGACTTTGCAGTCTGACACATTAGCCCCACAGCACCACACCAGGACTCCACAGAACAGAGTAGAGCTGCTTTTTTTTTTTTTTAAACTTTTTAGTGTGAATTAAGATTTACAGAGAAGATCATCAGTTTTATATTCAACCATTAAACAAGTCATAGACTTTGTTCGTTATCTCAAAGATCGCAAACCCCTCCGTGCAACAACAGTTATCCCACCTCCTACCTGTGGCTCTTATTTCCATTTCACCCACCTTAACATCTCTTCTCTACTTTAAGTTGCCTTTTTGATTTTGAATAATTGACCATTACATGGTGAGCATACCTTTACTAGTGTTGTTGTCCCCCCTGTGTACGTGCCTACTCCACTGCTCAGCTGAAAACTGAGCCACAAGGGTGAGTTCCCTTCCAGATCTGAAGGGTGGTCTAGGGCCATAGTGTCAGGTTCCTTCAGTATCTTGCTGACCACTTTTGATCCACATTTCCCCCCAACTTTATTCAGGACCTTCTCTTTCAGTTGGTAGTCGTAGATGGGCACCACCTAATTCTTCTGGTCTCAGTCAGAGTCATGAGATTGTTGTTCACATGTCCCATTCATCCACTGGACTAATTGATTCCAAGCATCTTTAATTATCACTGCTTTTTCTCCCATTCATGGAGATCAACATCTGCACCTTACATGACTGTTCATGAACCTTTAAGACGCAGACATTACTCACCAAAGTAAGATTAGAACACTGTCTTTGTGAACTATGCTAACTGACCATGGTGTCCTGAAACTATGGTCCTGAGCCTCGATGCCCAGCAACTCACTGCTATACGATGTTTGCTAATATCAAAGAAGTTTTCATCATCTTGTCCACTATAGGCTCTACCACATTCAGAGCTGTATTTGTACACTCTCATATATTTGTGGGTACACTCCCACTCTTCCTTCTCATACCCATTCAGTCCACGTATCTACTAACAGAACACTGTTGTTCCAAAATTGTGTTTATATCACTATTTACCTCTATCCCCTTTAATTCTTGCATATCTCTTATGTCTTCATCTATCTTCATTATTCTTCTGCCAGCCTCCCTCTTCTTGTATACTGCTCTCTCCCTTCCTTCCTGTCATCCAAGTTAACATGTGTCTACCCTCTAGTCAGTGAATTACTCTCCCTTCCCTCCCACTCCTGGTAACCTAAAAGAAATGTTCCTTTTAGTATGAAAACCTTTCTTGAGTTTTTGCAATAGTGATCTCATTCACTTTTGTGATTCACTAATCTCACTCAGCATAATGTCCTTCAAGCTCATCCATGCTATGAGGTGTTTCACAGACTCATCATTATTCTTAATCATTGCATAGTATTCTATTGTGTGTATGTACCAAAAGTTTATTTATTCATTCTTCCACTGATGGGCATTTAGGCTGTCTCCATCTTTTGCTATTGTGAATTGGGTTGCAATGAGCATCAGTGTACATATATCCTGGCTTTACTTCTTGTGGATACATACCAAGTAGAGGGATTGCTGGGTCATATGGTATTTCTATTTCAAACTTCCTGAGGAAGTGACATACTGTTTTCCACAGTACTTGAACCATTTCAGAGTCTTGGTGTGGTGCCATAGGATAAGCAATCGACATCAATGTCAGTCTGAACTGCAAGGCTGGTGTGGTTCAAACTCACTGCTCCTTGGAAATTCGATAACAGGGTTGCTATGAGTCAGAACTAAATCGACGGCACACAACAACAATGATAATATACATTTCTTCTTATGATTGTTGACTGAATGTCTTCCTTGGTGAAGTGTCTGCTCATGTCCTGTGCCCACTTTTAATTGGGTTGTCTTTTTCTTGTAGAAGTGTTACAGTTTTCTAAACATTTTAGAGATTAGTCCCTTATCTGATATGTTGCTGCAAACATTTTTTTCAGTCCGTGGCCGTGGGCTCCCTTTTTATTCTTTTGGTGAAATCTTTTAATGTACATAAGTGTCTAATTTTTAGGAGTTCCCAGTCATCTATTTTATCGTCTACTGTTTGTGTAATGTTTTTAGTAATCTTTGAAAATATACTTATGACATGTATTAGAGCTCTTAAGTTTGCCCCTTCTTATTTAGTGGTGCTCTTTATAGTTCTAAGTTTTACATTTAGGTATTGAATTCACATTTTGTTTTTTTGTATATGATGTGAAATATGGGTCTTGTTTCATTTTTCTGCAAATGAATTTCCAGTTTTGCCAGTAACATGTATTGAAGAGATTATCTCCATTTACTGTATTTTGTTCCTTTGTCAAAGATCAGTTGACTGTATATGGATGAATTTAATTCTGGATTCTCAATTCTGTTCCACTGATTTATGTATCTTTTCTTATATCATAATCAGGCTGATTTGACTATTGTGGCTGCATAATAATACTTTAGAACACAAAATGAGTGTCCTCCAACTTTGTTCTTTTTCTTAAGCAGTCCTTTGTTTATCTGAGGTCTCTTTTCTTTTTACCTAAAGTTCGTGATCATTTTTTCTCTTTAAAGAATGAAGTTGAAATCTGGATTGAGATTGTGTTATATGTACAGATTGCTTTGGGTAGTACTAACATTTTCACAATGCTAAGTCTTCCTATCCATGAGCATGGCATATTTTTCCATTTTTATAAGTCTCTTTGGGTTTCTTAAAGTAGCATTTTGTAATTTTCTTTGTATAGGTCTTTTGTTTCTCTGATTAGATTTATTCCTAAGTATTTTTTTATCTTTTGGGTGGCTATTGTGACTGGTACTATTTTCCTAATTTCCTTTTCAGAGCTGTCTTTATTAGTATATAGGAATCCAACTGAGTTTTATAAATTGATTTTATTTATACCCTGATACTTTGCTGAATCTTTCAATGAGTTCCAATAATTTTCTTGCTGAGTGTCTGGGATTTTCTATGTATATATTCACATCATGGGCAAATAGAGTTTCACTTCTTTGCTCATTTGGATGCCTTAATTTCTCTTTCTTGACTTATAGCTCTGGCTAAGATTTCCAACACAGTATTTAATAGGAGTGGTGATAAAGGACATATTGTCTGGTTCCGGTTCACAAAGAAAATGTTTTTAATTTCTCTCTAGAGAGAGTAATATTGGCTGTTGGATGTGAATATATGCTGCACTTAATTATGCTGAAGAATTTCCAGGACTGTTAAATCCTTTATGGAAGCAGACTACCACGTCTTTCCCTATGAAACAGCTGATGAGTTTGAACTGCTGATCTTTTGGTTACTTCCAAGTACTTTAACCAAGGTACCACAATAAAACCTGTTTTGAACAAACTGCAAAGCAAATACCTTAGTAGCCTCAAGTACATGTGTTCTAAAAGAAAATGAATAGAAAGACAGATGAAATGGGTGGTATTTGCTATCATCTAGTTACAAATTCCTCCAGCATTGTACCTTTATCCCTAGGATCAACAAGCAGGTCATCAGCTGAATAAGGACTCTCCTCGCTACCTTCATTGGAGATGGTGAGGAACGAAGTTGGGGACACAGACTGAGAGCGGCTGCTGTTGTTGCTTCCTCTGTCTGCCCCACCAGGTGTCTGTGTGTCAATGCTGCGTGTGCTGCTACTTCTCTGCACAAGGGGGGGAGGTGCACGGTGGCCATCTGGAATATCTTGTGGCTATTAAAGAGTTTTAAAAAATAGAATTTATTACTGATTTAGAAATTCACCCGAAAACTCTCTCAATGTTAACTTTTCCCTGTAGTCCCAGGGACCCACAAATCAGAAACCCTTTCCTACTTATCAGGCAATTGAGACGCCTTGTGCTGGTCTTAGATTGACATTCTTGTCTATTCTGATACCCTCACTGGATACTGAGTAGTCTGGGGAAAAACAATTGTTTTCCCAGGACCTGGCAGACAGAAGTGGCTAATGTCTGTTGAATGAATGATTTGGTTAAATTACTAAGTATTAAATGTTTTTTTTTCTTATTATTATTATAAAGGAGCTTCTGGTAGCGTAGTGGTTACGAATCGGGCTGTGAACCTAAAGGTCAGCGGTTCGAAACTACCAGCCGCTCCGCGGGAGAAAGATGAGGCTTTCTACTCCCGTAAGGATTTATACCCTCGGAAACCCTGTACAGGGTCGCTATGGGTCGGAACCGACTCGATGGCACATAACAACAACAACAACAACATTATTATTATAATAAAGGAAGGCCATGTAAAAGAGGAAACATCTAGCTGGGACTCTAGTTCTACATTAGAGGGAAAGACAGTTTCCCAATGTAGAAACTAGTGAGAGTTGATGACAGGCCACTTACTTTTTCTTCCTAACTCCTTCCCCTTGGAAGATTTTTTTAAAGAAACATTCTTAAGGAAAGATTAATCACAGCAGTGCTACTTAACAGGGGAAATTAAGGAGACACTCATTTAGTCTCCTTATGGTTCATGTAGCAGAGGAACTCAACTCTGGAGAGTCTTGGTTCCTTTTCCTTTATTACATCAGGGAAAATTTTCCCACTATGTAGTTTGGAAAAGGAGAGGGTATGGGGAATAGTGTTTTCTCTAAGCTAAATCAAACTTTTATCTAAAGAGGAGAGGAGTATAACCATTAATCAACTGCTACTTCAAAATCAATTCCTTTTTCATAAAAGAATGGAAGCTAAATATATTTGATGGCATGGTTTTTACATCTAAAAAGGACTTTTTCTTACTGTGACTTACATATAAACCATTTTTATGGGTACTCTAGTTGGTAAAAAGGTAAGCAGAAGAAAGTGTCTAACTGTCCTTGATGATGACATAGCCTAGCATGCCAACTAAATAATTGATAACCAAAAAAAAGCATGCAGATTTATGTCAAAAAGTATTTATTATCATGTAACCCCCACTCACCTAAAAATTAGGAAGCTACACTTTTTTATTATTAAGTGGAGCTACAGCAAATGAGAAGTATCTCATCACCTGTCTAATGACTTTTAACTACATATAAACGCTAAATTTCTGCTCAAGGATCCAAATTTAAGTCAAATCAGTTGTCTTTATGAGATGCAAAGAAATGAAAACTTTTCATTCACTTGCGAAGGTCAAAGTTTTTCAAAAGAGATAAATTTTCATTCTATCTCAACGAGAAGGAAGAAACGTAAATAAATATGGAAAACAGAATTGTGAATATTTTAGTAATTAGAATAGGTCATGTGTAAAGTTTATTTTAAGATAACAAAATTACTTACTACAAGTTGCTCTTCCTTTTCACCAGTCTCTTTAATTATTATTTCAATTTCTTGATTTAGTCCCTCCACGCTATTCCGGAACCGGGAGCCTGTTGATTTAGTGATGGGAATGACTGGAATAAGTGCACTCTTTGGAACAGGAGCCTTAAAGAGAGACAACAAGGGAAGAAGAAACGCATACTATTACCTTTTTATTCTCTAAATTGAAGCATACTTCCAGTTAACATGAGTAACTTGTAAATAAACCAGAATAAAGCTTACAGATATCACAAAAATTTGAGTTACAAACTTTGATACATCCAAAATATAAAGCCAAAACCCCAATGATCATGGTAGGATTTCAAAAGTTAATTCACATCTGTGAGGGACTGGAAAGGGACTAATAATAAAAGAAAATATTAAAAGACTGTCAATCTCAGAAATATTTTATGATATTAACAGGTCAGATTTCATAATATAACTTTAAAGACCTCCAGTGCCACAATTATTCATATATAGGAAAGAAAGAAAAAAGTTATTTACCAAAAAAGAAAAGAAAGTATTTTATTGGGAAAAATTACTTCCAAAGTTCATCTATATAGTAGTAAGTCTGAAAAATGAAAATCTCTATGTAGAATTTAATTATATATACTTTCATTGTAGTGGCTTTAATAAGTTTTGTTTAGAAAAGAAAGTGATAAAATCATTCTCCTTTTTTCATAATCAAGTCTATCACTATCTTATTTTAAAAATTTTGGCCATTTGAACCCACCCCAAGTTTCCTTGGCCAAACTTCGTCTCTCATACTTTGGACATGTTGTCAGGAGGGACCAGTCACTGGAGAAGGACATCATGTTTGGTAAGGTGGAGGGTCAGAGAAAAAGAGGAAGACCCCCAGAGAGATGGACTGGCAAAGTAGCAGCATCAACAGGCTCAAGTGTGGCAACAATTGTGAGGTTGGCACAGGACCAGGTAGTGTTTTGTTTTGTTGTGCATAGAGTCGCTATGAGTCGGTACCAACTCGATGGCACCTAACAACAACAACAAAGTTGCCTTGGAAAATAGCCTTGGTGATCTGCTTCTAAAAGGTCACAGACTTTAAAAGACTATGGAGCAGTTCTACACTGCACATATGGGGTGGCCTTGAGTCAGAGTCAACTCAATGACAACACTATGTATTTTATTCTTAAAAAACCCCAAGGAAACACAACAACTAAAGAATGACGTATATGGCAACATCAACCTGAACTCGTCAACAAATGGAAGAGTCAAGAACAGAATAAATTTATAAGAATAGAGGATCTGGGAGGTCAGTCTATGATCAAAACAATTACAATGTGAAAAAAGGTAAACACAGAGGAACAGAGATCCAGGTGGTGGGAAGTTCAGGTAGATTACTGGATAAAATAGACTGTCTTAAATGGAGGGAAGAATTAATGGAATATAAGGTAACCACAATGGGGTTTGGGTGGGGGGTTTACTTCGGGTGTTAGGGAGGGCAATACAAGAAGGGAGGAAGAGGTGGAAGAACAAGACAGATGGGGGGAACACTGAGACAGGTTTGCGTGGCCTAGTGGGACAGAGGTCAATAGTGATGCATACTCAACCTTCGAACAACAGGGTTCTGGGATACAAGGATCTAGGTATAGCTTGAAGAGGGGAAATAATACTAAAATCCCTGACTGCCTTACAAATATTAGTTTCCCTTACCTACTATTGTAAAATAGACACTTGAGTGGGATAGAAAGGAATGTTGGGAAACATGATTAGAGAAAATTTGTAAGTCTGCCTTCAGCCAGTAACTGATTGGAATACCTAAAAGGGGTTCTACAACTTGTCCAGTGAAATAGGCCTCATGCAAAGCCTTTACAGAGTATAGGACCTTAGGTGGAATCCTGAGTCCCATCTACAACCTTGTGAGGTGAGACATTCCCACTAGAAAGAACAAGCAGACTGGAACAGCAACAGTGACAGAAGATACATCTTCATGATGAACCTGACCTATACTCAGAGTGGTACTCTAAATACCAACAGAGAGGAAAAGAGTCTTCAGATCAAGTATCAATGCTATCCGCTCTGTACACAGGGTAGACTGGGATGGGTAACAGACCTTGGCTACCTAAAATGAGGGGGCAATAAAGGCACGAAGTGACTGGCTTACAAGGTTTCAAGAGGGAGTTTAGTTTAAGAGTATGGGAGGAAAGAAAGAGTCCCCACTGAATAGCTGTCATCTTGTCTAGATGGGTCTGGTGAAAAGAGATGGGGATAAGATTCGTAAGATTCAACAGTGAATAACTGTTATCATGACTAATCGCGACTGTCACAATTGTAAAGGTAGAAGTCTTGTAACAAAAAAAGGGAGTGGTTAATCTTACAGTCCAGAAACAAAGGACCCTAGAACCTTCAAGAGAGGAATGCACAAGCAGAATGCAGGACCTTATCCAGAGAAGCAGCAGCACCAGAGATGGAGGCAGAGATGGGGGCATGGAGAGGGGGAGTGGCTGAGGACTCTAGATTCATGGACTAAGAAGAGAAGGACTAAGAGCTGGTGGCCAGGAGCAGACTTGCAGAATGTACCCTTTGGAGATGTAAATTATTATATATGCCTGAGTGGTTTTTTTTGTTTGTGTGCTTTTTAAAAAACCAAAGTGGATAGAGAAAAATACTTTCAACTGATGGTACATGGAGGGGATTATAATCAATGCAATGAAACAAGGCATATGATTTGTTGAATGTGAAACTGATGATATGCTCTGTAAACTTTCACTCAATCCACAATAAAAACTTTAAATAAAAAAACAAAACAAAAAAACCCCAATGAACAAAATTCTCTCATTTTTCAACATTTTCTGTTCCATCTATTAGAACAAAGCACCTCATCAACCACATGCTTATTAACAAAAGCACAAAGCTAAAGAGCACTCTTTATCTTTTAAAGTTTACTTGATTAAAAGCCAATGTTGTCAAGGATATGGAGAAATCGAAACCCTCATCCCAAGTAGGTAAAATGGTATAGCTCCTGTGAAAACTAAAAGGTGGTTGTTAAATGCCCTTGAGTCAGTTCCGATCCATAGTGACATTGTATAGGGTTTCTGAAGAGTGACTGGTGAGCTTGAATTGCCGATCTTGCAGTTCAAACAAACTTTGTAGTATAAGCCCATTAACCCACAGCACCATAACTGGACTTAAAGTTTAGTGGTTCATCAAAATGTTAAACATAGAATTACCATTGTTGTTGTGCTTAAGTGCCAATGAGTTGTTTCCAAATCACAGCAACCTTGGATAGGGTTTCTGAGTGACTGGTGAGTTTGAACTGCCAGCTTTTGCAGTTAAAAATCAATCTTTTGGTTGAGTGCTTATCCTACAGCACCACACAACAGGGTTATCATATAACCCAGCAATTCCACTCTTAGGTATATATCCAAGAGATGTGAAAATGGTGATATGAATAAGACACATGCATATCAGTATACACTGGTGCAACAGCTAAAGGTGTAAACAACCCAAATATCCATCAACAAATGAATGGCTACACAAAATGTAATGTATACATATAATAGACTATTACTTAGCCATAAGGTCACAAACTTGAAAGTCCTCACAAATGTTATATGGATAAGCCTTAAAAATATTATGCTGAGTGAATTAATTCAATCACAAAAGGATATATGAGCATATGGTATGATCTCACTAATATGAGCTATACCTAGGATAAAACAAAGATCAGAATATAATAGTGGTTAACAAAGGTGGGAGGAGTTATGGGGGGAATTACTGTTTAGAAGACATTACTGTTTATAGAGACAGAAAAATTTGGCAAAGGATATTGGTGATGGTTGCACATGGTTGAGGTAATTTGATCTCACTGAAATATATGAAAATGCTGAATTGGCAAATGTTGTGTTATCTATTTTTTAAATCTATTTTTTATAATAAAAATAAATCATTTCATAAAAAAATGCACTAGGACACAGTGAAATGTTGAAGAGTAAAAAAACAAAAAAATCCAATAATACATACACAGACAAATACATATAATTATATTTCAGAGAGCAAAAAGGAAGCCTATTCCTCCAAAACATCAGGAGTAGCTATACAAGACAGAGGAGCTGCAGGTGATATATATATTTCTTTGGATTATTTTTTCCACAAAAAATCTGAGGGAAGAAACTATGTCTTATTTTTTAAAGCCACTGCCTAGCACAGAGCCTAGAATGCACATGGTCTTTGTTCACTATGGCTGGCAATCCTGTGTAAGTCCTTGGAGAGAATTCAAGAACATAAGCAAATAAATCCCTTAAGCCTGAGAGCAGCAGTTTCCTTATCTACAAAATGAGAAAAATTATACTTAAAAGTTCAGAGACCACAATGAGATATCACATTATACGTATTAGGATGGCTATTACCAGAAAAAATTGCAACAAGTGTTTAGCAAGGATATGGAGAAACTGGAACTCTCATGCATTTCTGGTGGGAATGTAAAATGATATTGTTCCATGGAAAACAGTTTAACAATTCCTCAAAAAGTAAAACACAGAATTACCAAGTTGTTGTTTGGTACCACTGAGTCAGTTCTGACTCACAGTGACTCAATATACAATAGAACAAAACACTCCCTGGTCCTGTGCTAGCTTTATAATTTTTCCTTTGCTTGAGCCCACTGTTAGAGCCATCGTGTCAATCCATCTCATTGATGATTTTCCTTTTTCACTAATTCTCTACCAAGCACGACGTCTTTCTTGATGGACTGGTCCCTCCTGATAATCTGTCCAAGTATGTGAGACAAACTCGTTATTCTTACTTCTAAGGAGCATTATGGCTGCACTTCTTCCTAGATAGATTTGTTCATGCTTAGGCAGTCCCTGGCATATTCACGATTCTTGC